ACGGGGATGGGGGCAGCTCGCGCTCAACTTCATCAACGTGGCGAGCCTTGCACGTGAGAGGCACAGTGGAGGTGGAGTTCAAAGAAGAATGAGAAATTTAATGGTTTCAATCTGCCCTTGTTTTTTCTTTTTGTTTTTCTTTTTATTTTTATTTTTGCATGTTATCACTGTGCCCGTTTTTTGCTTTTATTCTTTGTTCCGCAAAGTGCGCTCTTTTAGTTTGTAGTGATGTGACAATATATATATCAGTTAGGGTATTCTGCAGACTGTTGAGGGTTCAGCCTCCTGATGAGTCGGTGAAACTCCGACGAAACAGTTTGTCACAGCCCCTCGTTTCTTATCCTCTTCTCCCTCTCTGCCTACGGTTTACCGGGCAGCTCTGTTTGACGATATATATATATAAGGCTAAGGTTGAGGGTTCAAATCCCTTTTTCCACTCGTCAGCTTCCTTCGCTGCCTGGCCAAGAAAAGAATGGAGCCGACACCACCCCACCCTGGGGTGGGTGGGAAAGATGAACGCTTTGCGGCAGTTGTGTCACCAGAGGCCACTATATACATAGTGTATATATATATATATATACACTATATATATATAGTGTATATATATATATATATACACTATATATATATAAAGCCCAGGGTGCTGTGGAGGCCAAGGACCAGACCTGCAGTGATTGCTGGCAGCGGCAGCCAATGGTTGTCCTGACAGGATAGGCCACCTACCCTACCCACCCCCACGTTAGTACTCCCAGCGCAACCCCTGTCCCTGCTATCCTACCTCAGTGTGACCAGCACTCAGGACCATCCCCCTACCAGTATCGAGGGCAACTTGGACCAGACAGCAGTGGCAAGCACCAAGGCTGGGCCAACCCCCCAGCCCTAGTGAAAGCGGAAGCCGAGGAACCTTGGTGTACGGGAACTTCGGATGCCAGGCTGATGCAATCTTCTACAGGCCCAATATTAGAGAGTCTACCCAGCAGGAGTACCTAAGCAAGGCAAGCTGGTGCCCAGGGACACATCCTACCGTCCTGCCCCTAACTTACCCAAGGCTAGGTGGAACTCAGACTAGCCGGAGCAACTTATATCCCTACCTTATCCTCGAGCTAAGCCATGCATGAGTAGACACACCTGATAGAACCCCCCAGCCCAGTATTATAGTTGTTTGTATATGTGTGCCCATAGGCTATGTATGTATGTATGCGCCCGTAGGCTATGTGTAATTCACGAGCCATGTTTTTGTGTCTGCCCGAAGGCTATGTATGCTCGGGGTAACCGTATAGCGAAATGTATGTGCCCGAAGGCCAGACATGTGCAGTACTATGCAGAGGGAACTATACGTTCGTTGAAAAGATGACAGGCCAACCTGGGCAAGAACCTCCCCAAAGTCCCAAGCCAGATTCGAACCCATGATCTATGACATGTGACTGGAAGACTCTACCATATGAGCAACAATCGCAAATGGCACCTATATGTGATCAACCAGAGTGGGCAGATCAACAGAACAACCACGAGCATCAGTGACAAGCAACCCACGCAGTATCAAGACCCTACATACAACACCATGGACAAACCTTGAATGGTGCATATGCAGTGTCTGTAATAGCTTACCTGCATCAGCCCAAGGTGGTGTGCAATTGACCATGCTTACCTGCATCAGCCCAAGGGGGGGTGCAAGTGACCATACATACGTTAATAGCTTGCCTGCATCAGCCCAAGGGGGTGTGCAAGTGACCATGCGTTATGTAAACGCCAGCCGGTGTCTTCTGCGCAGAGGTGCGGAGTTTTGAACCCGCAACCTCAGACCACATTGCACATTGACACAAAACCGGTGCCCTAACCACTGAGCCATACGCCAGCAGAAATAGGAAGAAGTAGCCAATAGCTGCAGCTCGGCCCCACCATGATGGGGAGAGTGCCAAAAAAGGAAAAAGGAAACAAACGACCTCCCTTGCCTTTTCAGGAAACCCGGGGCAAAGCTTCGAATCCTCTTTTGGATACTTTTTCCGTTAGTGCAGGACATATTTCAGGACGCGGTGGGGTGTCCTGGGGTCTCGTGCTTCCGTTGGCGATGGCCTTTCCACCGCACGGCACGGCCAAGAGCTTGGCTGGACGTCAGGCCGTGCGGTCCAGGCCTAAGCCCTGCTGCTGCTTTTGTCTTTTGTTTCTGAAAAAGAGAGAGGCAAAAAAAAGAGATGAGCATCAGCCCGTACGGTCTGAGGGCATCTATCTGACCACAATTATGGCCACAGCTCCGTCTGAGATGTCCTGCTGTGAGCATATGCCCTGATTTGCATCCCATTGTGTCTGTAGGGAGAAATGGCCCTCTGTTTACAGACACAATCTACAAATAGAACAATATCTCCAATCATGACCTTTGACTGCCTGCTCATTGAAGAGCAGATTGTCAGGAAAACAGTCTGTCTGACTCTGTCAACCTTTTCTTTTCTTTTCTTTTTCTTTTCTGTTCTTCTTCTTTTCTTTTTTTCCTTTTCTTTCTTTCAACAGCCTATCAAATTAGGTGGATATATGGTGCTCATTTGTTACCAACCAGGCAATCAAGCACTCATTTCCTTTTTATTCTTTTTTTCTTTTGTACGCTATGGAATGCCATGATAACAACAAAAGAGCATGCCATATGGACAAGTGTTTGGCGCAAATGTGGCGTTGTATAGAACAGCAGCAAAACAGGCAGTAATTCTCCCCCAATCCTTTTTTTTTTTTCTGCTAGCAAAACAGGCAGTAATTCTCCCCAACGTGTTTAGAGTCTTTTTGACGGTTGCCACACAATCTCTCTGACTCATTGGTGGGAGTTAGAGCCTCACTCCGCCACTCACCACATACTCACCGCATGCACAAATGACAAGAGAATAAGGCTGTGTTTTGTTTTGTTCTTTTTATAGAGAAAAAAAAAAACTCGCTGCCTCTGCTAGGGAAGCTGATGTGTTACCAAAAAAAAAAAAAAAAAAAGCTGATGTGTATCTTACTATCTTCCCATGTTCTTCTGGAAGATTTGCTGTCATTTTGCACATTTGATGATGACTGGAGGAAGGCCCTTAGCTTCCTTTCTTCGGCAACCAAGAAAAGGGAAATAGATTGGAGCATTTGAAAAAAAAAAAAAAAAAAAAAAGGGCCCAATGCCTGTGCAGTCACCTTTTTTTTTTTTTTTTTTAACTGAACCACTTTTTTATAATTGCAGGTCACCTTGTTCTGTCCTTCACCATCAACTGCCTCCCAACGTCTCTGACATACTTTGTTTTCTCTCTCTTTTTTTTCACATATGAAAAACAGGTGATTGCATTGACGTATACACTGCAATCGTCCATGTGGCGCTTGGAAACACAACAGGAGCATCTGCCGAAAAGGTCAAGGCCCTTATCGAAAAGCCCAGATAATAAATAGTAATGAAAAAAAAAGAAGGTACCCCTGTTCGCATCAGAATGCAGAAACCACCCTCTGGTCCAATATGCTTTTTACATTCCAAAAGGACTTTTTGTCTCAGAGTCGAACGCACTGTCGACTGGCTCTTCCCCGACAAATGTCTGGAAAAACTGAACTTGGCCCGGACTTTCAGTTGTGGGTCAGGATACTGCACCATAATGCCACCACACACGTTCAGGTGAATGCCCTGCTCGACCCTGAGATCAAGCTCCAACGGTCAGTGAGGCAAGGGGACCCACCGTCCGAAGTTCCCGTACGACAAGGCTCGTTTGATTCCACTTCCACCAGGGCTGGGTCATGGCTAGCCTTGGTGCCTGTCACTGCTGTTCCGTCCAAGTTGCCCTCGATACTGGTAGGGTAATGATCCTGAGTGCTGGGCACACTGAGGTAGTACAGTAGTGATAGGGGGGCGCTAGAAGTATTGACGAGAGAATGGGATGGGAGGTGGCCTCGTCTTCTCAGGACAGCCATGGCTGACTGCTCCCAGTGACCACTGTGGGCCTACTAACTGGCCTCTACAACAGCCTGGACTTTGTTTTAAAAAAAAGAAAAAGAAAAAGAAAAAGAAAAGAGGCAAGGGGACCCATTAGCTCCCTTCCTCTTCCTCCTACTGATGGAGGCACTAGGTGCAAACCTGAGAGCCAACAAGAACATCACAAGGCTCCACATTGCCAGCATCCTGGAGGATGCAATCCTGGTTTGCTCGATGTCCGATGACCTCACACTGATCGTGGAAGCCACACACAGCAACATGCAAGAAATACTGGCCCTAATGAACAAATTCTCTCAAGTCTCAGACATGGTGGTCAACTGGGGCAGCAAGACACAAGGGTGGTGGATCCGATCTCAAACCACCAGTATGTTTCCCTGCTTGAAAAACAAACTCCCGGCGGTTAACGCCGGGGGGGGTCGGTGCAGGGAACGACCGAGAGCACCATACGACCGATAGTGGAAAAAAAAAAAAGAAAAAAAAAAGTGGTCGTTGCAAGAAGCACAAGGCGGGAACGGTGCACGGGAACGACACACACACACACACACACACACACACACACAGAGAGAGAGAGAGAGAGAGAGAGAGAGAGAGAGAGAGAGAGAGAGAGAGAGAGAGAGAGA